GCATCATCAAAACATCACAGTGATGTATCTGTGTCAAGACATGTTTCCACCCAGCAAATACGCCAAGAGTATTTCCAGGAACGCCCATTACATCATAGCCTTCAAGAATCTCCGAGATCAATAGGGCATGCAAAATTTATCGTGTCAAGCCTTTCCCACACGATGGTTGGACGTGCAAGACACATTTCTGAAAGTGACAGAACCACCTTTTGGCTACATGCTATTGGATTTACATCCCAAGAACGACGATCAACGGATCCTCAGTCATCTATTAAAGGAAGAGGGTTGTGTATTGTCATCAATTAAAGCAAGATGTTGCACAGTGAAGTTCCGTGGTTCCCGAGGTTCATCCAAATTTGTAACAATTACTTTATGGATTGGATGGAAGAAAAGGACATGGATTACCAAGCCATGAAACATGTCTTACAATGCCAGTGTCAACGCAAAGTCTGGTCCTTGCTAAATGCATATAACGAAACGGCTTTTAGAGAATTGATTCAGACCCAACGAGAGTTGGCACAGAAGGCAGTGGCTAGGGAAAAGAAATGCAGATTGACCAAACCATGAGCCATGCTTCTCCAGCCGGTGTGGGTCGAGCCCCTTCCATGATTCAGCATGATTCATGATTCAATTTGGTCGACTACGAATACATCCTCAGCTCACGCATGGATGGGAGTGGGTACGGCCCTACCATGGGGAAAAAATCCTGTCCAACAAACCAGTATCATTGGCGTGGGTGCCTCTCCTCTGACCACACAAGGAATGGCCACTAGCTATGGAGGTGATTCATCAATGAATCAACCCGAAATATGACAATTGGAAATGCTGTTGAACGATGCAAGAGCGTCGGGGCGACCTATTGCTAGCATCACCCATACCCTAAACCGCGAAGTATAAAGACAGAGAAAGACCCCGGGTGACCCGTAATTTGACCAGTGTTCGAAGCTGAAATGGGAACCTTGGTCACTTTGTTGAATGGTACTTACACCAAATACGTCGATTTGATCAATCACAATTCTTTACAACGATTAGATGCTTTATACGCCTATTATCATCAGCAATGGTGGTGTCAACGAGAAATGTTTTACCATTTTAAAAGTTGTCACAGTTTGCTGAATGGCATGGCCTGATTGGTCATGGCACTGAGTGTGGTGGTAGGCACCATGCGGGAGAACAGTTTTGGGGTGGTAGGCTTGATGGCCTTCGAGATTTTGGTGAAAGGTTGGAACGATTTCAGGAATTTTTCGCTCAAAGTGGATATGTGTCGGTTTGCTTACACGACTCATGAAAAGACCTTGATCAAACTCCAAACCTATGTGCACGGATTTCCCTAGGAACAATTTGACGGATTCTTGATCAAATTGCAAGCAATGGACGATACTATCACTGATTTGACGCCACCTACCTCTGACGGCTTGGTGAAGCAGTATGACTTAAAATTTCAACACCTTTCCGTCACCAAGACCATAAAAACGTTATCACCCTCATGTAATTCATCATTTCGAGATCATTCAGAGAAGACGGGTCGTGAGGAGTAGGAGACAGAAAGGGTTTTTTTTCCCCAGCAACTCTTCTACCCACTATGATAGCTTTAAAAACAGTGACAGAAAAATAGCGTTTGCACGCCGCACTGACAGATTAACGGAAACTGCAAGAGGCCTGGGGACTAGGACACATCCGACTCAGTTGAGTCGGAGCAACTCTACAGATCAGGGGATGTTACGTGGATGTAGAAGATCATGCCCGACAAGTGTTTCTGGGTCGGGGTAAACTTGAAAATGCCTTGTTGATGAATTGGTCACGTGAAATCGTTTTTGTAAGAAAAAATGGGGCAGGTAAAAAGTTGGCTAAATCAGGAGCAGTCACTCTTGTCAAACTGAGTTTTTTTAATAGTTAACATTTATTTTACCATCTACGGGCTTCCATACAGTCCATGACAAACCCAAAAAAGTGTCCAGCTGATTTCAAAGTGTCTTCTGGTTGGGCAGGGGCCGCAGGCTCACTTCCAAATCGGCCCAGCAGAAAAAGGTGCAGGGCCAATGCTCTTGGCAGACAGTAAGGCCGGCTGTCGTTCTTGGGCAAACGAGACACTCTCAAAGCGCAGGCTTTCTGGTGTTGACACAGCGGAGCATCTTGACCCGTAAAAGCACTGGCCATATCCAACTGCACCACTCTCCCGTAGGCCAGTAAATCCGCCAACGAACAAAAGTAACCACAACCACCGTTGGAACACCGGACGTATCCTCCCCCATAGCTCTTAGCTACAAACTGTTCCTGCAGGCCTTTCTGACACAAAATGCAGGAAGCCATTAGCTCCTCCACCACCTTTCAACCAAAACAAAACCCAATTGAAGACACACTTTGTCACCGGAGGGGGTGAGGCCAACCCAGGCCCCCGTGGTATATCAGCCTTTAGCATGGCATCAGCCGGCATGCCCCCGGGCACATGTGCCCCCAAAGATGGCGTCAGCCATGTCCCTGGGCACACATGCCCCCAAACCATGGCGTCAGCCAGGCCACCGGGCACAGGTGCCCTTCGAACCATGGCATCAGCCATGCCTCTGGGCACATGTGCCCCCCAAAGATGGCATCAGTCATGTCCCCCTCATTCCACTCACCTCGAGGCTGACGAAGCACTGATAAAGCCCCAAGCCATGTGCCCCCCAGTGCCACTCACTTCACTCACCTTGAGGCTGACAAATCGCTGATGAATCCCAGCCTCAAGCGTGCGCTTGACATTTTCCCTCCTGTTTTAGCCCTAATAACTGATGGTTATGTATGAATGAACACACAACATGGCAGACAACTTGTTTCAGAGTCACAGAAAGTGGATTTTCCCTGCTTTGTGTGGTCAAAAAGCGTTCAAACTCAAGGAGATGGAAGACTAGTCCATGAACTGTCTGGCAAGGAATTGGTGTTTAGATTTTACTGCCCGACCCGAATTATTTTGGCTCATGCATTGGTAAGTAGAATATACACAACATCCAATTAAACAGCTTAATTTCACAACTGCTCCAGTTGGGTGTATAACTGCAATGATCATGTCTTCATATCATAGCTTACAAGAGTGTTTCAGATTTACAAAAATGTTAATATCTCGCTCAAAAATAGATATTTTGTGCTGTTTGCAGACACTGTAAAAGACATTATGAACTTGCTTCGGTACAGATATCCTTAGTATTTGATATATTTAAGAGTTTTCCTGTTCGCTCAATTTTCATCACCAATATTTACGTTTTGCAAATGTTACATTTTTCCATTATGTTAAACTGGGCCAATGTTTTGTGCCATAGTTTCTCAGAAGTAAAAGTGAGAATGATCTATAAACTTTTGTGTTGTCATTTTATTCATGAGAATTAGTAAACCTCATGGTAAACCTTTGTAAAGGAGAGAAATCTTGGCCTTATTATACCTACATACCAGTCAGGTGTAACACGGTACATTACAAATTAGCACGGTTTAGTTCACCTCTTATCAGTGATTTGCTTTTTTCATGATTTATTTCTCAAAATTTAACATTTGTCTACAAAGCTTAACCCTTTATCAAAGTCAGTTTCAAATTTGAAGTGAAAACCAGTTGCCATAGATGAGAAATTTCTGTTTATTGCTGCCTCACCCCAAAAGTGACAGGTGATCATGCTACAGGTCATAAGTTTCAGTGCAATCTGCACTGAACACAAGCCAAGTCTAGATATGTTGGCTTCAGGAAGCAAACAACTCCTCTGTCGCTGAGGAAACTCACTCAGCAAAACCTGGATGAAATAACAAAGAACAAACAAGGCAGTGCAGTTAACTTTTGAAATAAAAGGAAGTAAACCAATCAAACAACACAACAGAGCGATTTTGAAACCAAAATAATTTACCTTGAACAAGTACAACTAATTTGCCACATAAAACTCTTCAAAGTTTTTACAGAACTGAAAAAATGGCTGCAATGACAAAGCACAACGATATGCCAAAAGCAATGGCCAACAAAACATCATCGGGGCAACCAGGTCCAGGGGTTAGGTTGTCCTGCATTTAGAATAAGGACAGCTTAGATATTGTTTTAATTTTAAGCACTGGTTAAATACAGAACTTGAGCACTTGTGAAATTAAAGTCTGAAAAAACGTGTCTATTGTTGGTTTGAGGGCACTATGAGATAGATCAAGGTCTTCATGAAGAGGTTGAGAACTTTGAGAAACTTATGAAAGAAAAATGGAATTATCATATGCACTATCATTTCATTGTAACAATGAAGAATAGAAGACGTAATCAGTCTGTTTTTCTTCCTAGCACAAGTGACCTTCAGAAATTAAAGGAGTGCAATAGCTTCAAGATTATTTCACTCACTTCACAGTTAGAAGCTAAGCGCAGACTAACTCTATACACCTGTTGCAGATGATATTGCATTGCTTCTTCATTGATACCAAGACCTCTATGGAAACAAATATCTTGGCAACACCAGCAGAGAGCTTAGACAATGAGAAGATCAGCACCGAGAAGACCAGACACTTAAGGATGAACAGCAGAACCAGCAAAGCCATCATGTTGAATGGGGAAGCAGCCAAAGAAGTGAACACTTTACCTGCCTGGGATGCTTGAGCATACAGCAAAAGGAAGAGCCTGAACATGATTAAGAAAACTGCCGGTGCATATGTAACGACCTCAAAGAGAGTATCACAGCATATGCAGTGGAAAGTGCAAGGCATTATTTAAAACCTTTGATCGTGACTACTGGTTGGATTCCAACACAAGATTTTGGTCATTAACAAAAAAATTAACCTTGCATCACTAGTTCAAACTCTTCATTTCAGCACTGAACAGCTCACGTGGCCTGATGGGCACATCCCAGAAAACCTCCTTTAAGTGGAACTCGGTGGCGACCATGAGCAAGATTCAGTGAAG